GACTGAGCGTTAAAACAGCAAATATGAAGCCTCCTGTCATGTTGTAAAATTGTAGATTATGCTAGCTTTAGTGTACCTATAATCTTAATTTTAAATTAAACAAGCCAAGTCAGGTGAACCAGAAATCAGAGTAGTCAGGAATAGCCATGGTCAACATACCGGGAATAGCAATGACAGGAATTATTAACTCTCTCTCGGGAATCAGGACAGGAAACCACGACAGGGCAAAGAACTGGGAAGCTTCAGGGATTTATATCCCTCCCTAGACTGCATATCCCTCTTAGACTGCAAGAGGGTGACCTCTGACCCCAGAACGTGCGTGTGCGTCAGCGTTGTGACGTCACACGCACGTTTGTATAACCCTGGGGGCGGAGCCATATTGTTTCTGGGCAAACTGCCAGGAAGATCTGGAGTATCGGCTCCCGGCTCGCCGCTGAGCAGGTAAGCTCAGTCTGTCGACGTGGTCATGCCGGTCATGGCGCGAACGTGGCGAGCCAGGGGCCGTGACAGTATGCTGTGATCAACTGGCAGGAAAGGGGTTAATTTTTTTTCAGACTGGGTTAAGGGGGGTGGGATTTTTTTTAAAACCTTATTAAAACATTTTTTAAAAACTTTAACGTTAACCCCTAGGTAGCCTAACACCAAATTCCCCGCTGACTTCCACCCACCCCAGCTAGCTAAATATATAATTTTAAAATATTTAAATTATTAATAAAATAAATTTAACCCTCGGGGGATAAATAAAAATCAGATGACCGTAAAATGTAGTGCCTGCCAATGGTCACTGTAGTCCGAGATCATTTGGCATGGAAGGGGTTAATTTTATTAAAGCAGGAGGAACGGGGGGTGGGTGGGATTTAACTTAAACTTTATTTTTGTACAGGGAGAAGCAGATCACTGCTGATCCGTCTCCCTGCACTTCACTCAGAACGCGGAAGCACAGGGAGGCGGATCAGAAGTCTCTGCAGCACATGTGCTCGCTCTGACAGCCTGTGCTTCCGAGGCAGACCGGAGGAGCGTTAACCCCGCGATCGCACCGATCTGGGATTAACTTTAGTAAATGACGGAAATCTTACGTCAAGGGTCCTTAACGCAAGGACAAGCTTGTCAGGAAGGGGTTAAGGTGCAGTATGTAGAGATAATAGGAAGATTATGGACTGGATGGGGGAAGTAGGAGATTAAGGTGCAGTATGAAGAGGTAATTGTAAGATTAGGGGCCAGATGGGGGTTTAGGAGGTTAAGGTGCAGTATGGAGAGGAAGTAGTGAGATTAGGGGCTGGATGGGGGATTAGGAGGTTAAGGTGCAGTATGGAGAGGAAGTAGTGAGATTAGGGGCTGGATGGGGGATTAGGAGGTTAAGGTGCAGTATGGAGAGGAAGTAGTGAGATTAGGGGCTGGATGGGGGTTTAGGAGGTTAAGGGGCAGTATGGAGAGGAAGTAGTGAGATTAGGGGCTGGATGGGGGATTAGGAGGTTAAGGGGCAGTATGGAGAGGAAGTAGTGAGATTAGGGGCTGGATGGGGGATTAGGAGGTTAAGGGGCAGTATGGAGAGGAAGTAGTGAGATTAGGGGCTGGATGGGGGATTAGGAGGTTAAGGGGCAGTATGGAGAGGAAGTAGTGAGATTAATGGCTGGATGGGGGATTAGGAGGTTAAGGGGCAGTATGGAGAGGCAGTAGGAAGATTAGGGGCCAGATGGGGGATTATTGAGATTAAATTTAACTCTCCATAACCATAAATAACATTACATAGTAACATAGTTACATAGCTGAAAAGAGACTTGCGTCCATCAAGTTCAGCCTTTCTCACATTAGCTTTTGCTATTGAACCAAAAAAAGGCAAAAAAACTAGTTTCAAGCACTTCCAATTTTGCAACAAACTAGGAAAAATTCCTTCTTGATCCGAAGATGGCAGTCAGATCTCTTCTCTGATCAAGCTGCTATTGTCCAACTAATTAGACATTATATTCCTGTACGTTATGCTTTTTGCAAGTATTTATCCAATTACTGTTTAAACATCTTAACAGAGTCTAATGAAACCACCTCTTTAGGCAGAGAATTCCATGTCTGTTTTGTAATTACTGTTAAAAAAACTTTTCCTTTGCCTTAGACTAAATCTCTTTTCTTCCAGTCTGAATGCATTACCTCGTGCCTATGTATAGTCCCGTTTGTGAATAGATTTCCGGGCAATGGTTTCTATTGTAAAAACAAAGAGAACGTTACCTGTGCTCTGGCCTAAATCCCCATGTACATTTAAACAAAATGGAGGCTCTTTAGTTTTATTCCAATGGCCATTTGAATATATAAGCTCACCTGCCACGTCAACACAAGCCTCAATAGGTGAGTCCTACACTAGCCTTTAGATATGCTGATATCAGCCAAGAATCTCCAATGAGACAGGAAGGGGTATTTTATAAACCCTTTCACATTTAACCCTTTATAGGGCTTCTACACATACAAATCACCTTGCTGGTATCAGCTAAAAGGCAAATTTCTCAGTGGTTTGTATTGGCCTCAAATATATTTGTTTAATCATATCCCCTCTTTTTTTCTAAACTAAAAACATTTAAAAAGACACCATAGACAACAAAACAACTTCCGCTTAATGAAGACATTTTGTGTAAAGATTTTGCCTCTGCAGTCTCTCTGCTCTGTAAATTTAATTTAGATTAACCCTATTGTAAACATAGCAGTTTCTCTGAAACTGCTATGTTTACAGCAGGCAGGGTTAACCCTAGATGGACCTGGCACCCAGACCACTTAATTGAGCTGAAGTGGTCTGGGTGCCTATAGTGGTCCTTTAACCCCTTAAAGGACCACTCTAGGCACCCAGACCACTTCAGGTTAATGAAGTGGTCTGGGTGCCAGGTCCAGCTAGGCTTAACCCATTTTTTAACCCAGTTTTCTCTGAAACTGCTATATTTATTAATGGGTTAAGCCTTTCCCCAAAGCCTCTTGTGGCTGTCTCATTGACAGCCACTAGAGGCGCTTGCGTGCTTCTCACTGTGATTTTCACAGTGAGAGCACGCCAGCGTCCATAGGAAAGCATTGTAAATGCTTTCCTATGCGACCGGCTGAATGCGCGCGCAGCTCTTGCCGCGCGTGCGCATTCAGCCGACGGGGCGGAACAGAGGAGGAGAGAAGGAGGAGAGCTCTCCACCCAGCGCTGGAAAAAGGTAAGTTTAAACCCCTTTCCCCTTTCCAGAGCCGGGCGGGAGGGGGACCCTGAGGGTGGGGGCACCCTCAGGGCACTATAGTGCCAGGAAAACGAGTATGTTTTCCTGGCACTATAGTGGTCCTTTAAGGACACATGACATGATTCCCTTTTATTCCAGAAGTTTGGTCCTTAAGGGGTTAATCAAACACAGGAGGCTCCTGCAGGCTTTGGAAAGCTATTAACAGAGCAGGAAATAAGTTTAAACCGAATGTGCAATAAAGCAAGTTTAAACATTAGCTCTCACTTTACAGGAGGCGTTTAAGAAGGCTGTGTTAGTAACATGCATGTAGGTGTGACTACGGCTGCATAAAGGGATTTAACTTCTAAGTTGAGGAGAATTGAGCAGTGAGACTGCAGAGGTATGATCTATACACCGAAACTGCATTAAGCTAAAGTTGTTTTGGTGACTATACTGTCTCTTTAAATTTGTTAACCTTTCTTCATAACTAAAATGCTCTGTTTGTTTTATTAATTTTGTAGCCCTCCTCTGCACTTTTTCTAGTGCCATAATATTCTTCTTTAGAACAGTTCACCAAAATTGCATATCATATTCAAGGTGTGATATTTTCAGTATAAAGAGGCAAAATTATATTTTCATCCTTTAAATTAATGCCCCTATTTATACATGACAAAACCTTACTGGCCTTCGCCACTGCAGATTGACATTGCACATTGTTGTCTATAATAATTCCCAAATCCTCCTCGTTTGTTGTTATTCCTAATTCACTACCATTTAGGGCAGGGGTAGGCAACCTACGGCACTCAAGGCTGCTAGAGCCAAACAGGCTCTGGCCTATCAGGAGTCCCAGTAAAACTTATATCTGCTAATACGAAAAGGTGGTGAAGGACAATCCTCAATTTATGCATTGCAGCACGTAGAGGAAGTGATCTCAGATCACTTTGTAGCGGAGAGCTGATTTCCCACAGCTTAACTCCACCAAGTACTTTAAAAGGATGCAGGAACAAGTAATAAATCCTATCGAGTCTTCAGCACAATCAGCAATCCAGACAGTGTACCTTTCAGGGTTAGACAGGCCGGGTGCAGACAGTGTCCCTTTCAGGGTTAGACAGGCCGGGTGCAGACAGTGTCCCTTTCAGGGTTAGACAGGCCGGGTGCAGACAGTGTCCCTTTCAGGGTTAGACAGGCCGGGTGCAGACAGTGTCCCTTTCAGGGTTAGACAGGCCGGGTGCAGACAGTGTCCCTTTCAGGGTTAGACAGGCCGGGTGCAGACATTGTACCTTTCAGGGGTAGAGAGGCCGGGTGCAGACAGTGTACCTTTCAGGGTAGAGAGGCCGGGTGCAGACAGTGTACCTTTCAGGGTTTGAGAGGCCGGGTGCAGACAGTGTACCTTTCAGGGTTAGAGAGGCCGGGTGCAGACAGTGTACCTTTCAGGGTAGAGAGGCCGGGTGCAGACAGTGTACCTTTCAGGGTTAGAGAGGCCGGGTGCAGACAGTGTACCTTACAGGTTTAGACAGGCCGGGTGCAGACATTGTACCTTTCAGGGTTAGAGAAGACGGGTAAATAGAGGATTGAGACAAATAGAGAGATGCTAGGCAGAGCTGTGAACAACTTGGGTGAGATGAATGGTGTGAAAGTGATGCTTAGAGTGCGGATACCTTGCAGACACAACCTATAGAGATTCTCTATTATCATGGAGTAGGCTGTTGTATGTTCATTTAGAGCACTTCCTTGGACGGAATGTTTCCAAATCCCAGCTGACGGTTACTTATCTTTTGTGCGAGGTTCAGTTTTTTACCCAGTGGGTTCAGTCCCATTACATTGTTCATTAACGTGAAGACTGATCTCTTGATGCAGGCAGTTTTACCACCGGTATTGTGCTTACGAAACCTCGTCACTTCATCCTGCCTCAATAACATCAAACCCTGGAACACTCAAACCAAGTACACAATCAATCCCATTGGGAAGAAGAAAACGGGAGGGCGCGACCATACAGGTAGGTGTGTGTGTGTGTGTGTGTGTGTGTGAACACACAATGATTTTTTGTGGGCTTCCCTGGTGTTTTTTGTGGTCTGGCTGTTTTGTACAATGGCCCACCCATTTTTCATTTATTAAGCAGATTGATTTAGGGTACACATCGGACTATGCTGAGGACATGCTGGACAGCTGTTATCTTAAATGGACACTATGAACACTAAAAGAACGTCAGCTTTAAGGGGCACCATAGTGACACAAACATGCATTGCTCACACTATAGTTCTGTTATCACTATTTAGGAAAGTAAAAGTCTCTTCACCTTTTTCCCACACTGTGCGTGGCTCCTCTCATCTGGCCCGCCCCCAATCTGCCTCCTTGGCTGACATAATTAGAATTGATGATATTAGCCAATCACAATGCTTTCCCATAGGAAAGCATTGGATTGGCTGAGATCGTCCATTCTGATTGGTTTAGCTGCGGGGGGCAGAGCCAAACACTGCCCTGGCCAATCAGCATCTACTCATAGAGATTCAATGCATCTCTATGGAGAAAGTTCAGCATCTCCATGCAGAGCATCTGAGAAGTGGCCACTAGAGATGTTCCTAGACTTTAATGTAAACAATGCCTTTAAAAAAGAGAAGTGTTTACATTAAAATGCCTGCAGGGAAATGCTATAGTCAACAGAACAGCTACATTATTATTATTATTATTATTATTATGATACTTATAGAGCGCCGTCAAATTCCGCAGCGCTTTACAATGGGTGGACGAACAGACATGTAGTTGTAACCAGACAAGTTGGACACACAGGAACAGAGGGGTTGAGGGCCCTGCTCAATGAGCTTACATGCTAGAGGGAGTGGGGTAAAATGACACAAAAAGGTAAGGATAGTATTAGACTAGTGACAGTTGCAGAAGAGGAATCAGTCAGGAGCTATTAACAGTTTAATTGATACGCTTTTATGAAGAAGTGGGATTTTAAAGATTTTTTGAAGGAGTGGAGACTGGGTGAGCATCTAACGGAGGAGGGAAGCGAGTTCCACAGGAACGGTGCAGCCCTCGAGAAATCTTGAAGGCGAGCATCAGAGGTGGGAGTACGGACAGAAGATAGACGTAAGTCTTCAGCAGATCGTAAGGGCCTAGACGGGACATACTTGTGTATAAGGGAGGATAGATAGGTGGGAGCAGCATTATGTAGAGATTTGAAAGCAAGAACCAGAATTTTAAATTGAGCTCTATATTTTATAGGAAGCCAATGTAGGGATTGACAGAAGGGTGAGGCATGGGAGGTGCGTGCGGACAGGAAGATGAGCCTTGCCGCCGCATTCATTATGGACTGTAACGGCGCTAGTTGGGAGCACGTAAGACCACTGAGAAGCGGATTACAGTAGTCAAGGCGAGAAAGGACAGTGGAATGGACCAACACCTTAGTCGCATCTGGCGTTAAGTAGGGGCGGATGCGCGCAATGTTTTTTAGATGGAAATGACAGGATTTGGCAATAGATTGAACATGAGGCTTGAAGGAGAGGTCGGAGTCAAAGAGAACACCTAGGCAGCTGGCCTGCGTGGTGGAGCTGATGGTAGCACCGTTGACTTGGAGGGAGACAGACACAGGAGTAACAACACTTGAGGAAGGAAAGACCAGAATTTCAGTTTTGGTCAAATTTAGTTTAAGGAAGTGAGCAGCCATCCAGTTAGAAACAGCAGAGAGGCAGTTGTTCTGGTGACTAGAATGTCCTTTTAACAAAGCTAAAACCAGGGGAGGTGTGACTAGGGCTGCATAAACAGAGATAACATGATTTAACTCTTACACTTCAGACAACTGAACAGTGTGCCTGCAGGTATATGTACACCAACACTGCTTCATTAAGATAAAGTTGTTTTGGTGCTTTGACTGTTCCTTTAAAAAATAAACGCTCTGGGTATTGGGTGGTATATGTTATTCAGTCACCACTCTGGAGGCGTGAGAAAGACCCCTGATGGGTTTTAAATCTTGCAGGGTGTCTCTTGTGATGACGGAGTATCATGCGTGATATCCTGCATAGGATTTACCGGTATTTATTTGTCACTTATAAGGTTGGCTTGGGATGACCTGCTTCTTTGTATTTTAAAGGACCACTGTAGTGCCAGGGGGAGGAAGGGGTTAAATTTACCTCTTTCTCCAGTGCCGGGTAGGGGACTCTCCTCCTCCTTGGCTGAATGCGCAGCACGAGCCGTGCGCTTTCAGCCAGTCCATAGGAAAGCATTCTCAATGCTTTCCGATGGACGCTGGCGTCTTCTCACTGTGAAAATCACAGTGAGAAGCGCCTCTAGCGGCTTTCAATGAGACAACCACTAGAGGGTGGATTAACCCTATTATAAACATAGCAGTTTCTCTGAAACTATGTTTATAGAAGAAAGGGTTAAACCTAGCTGGACCTGGCACCCAGACCACTTCATTAAGCTGAAGTGGTCTGGGTGCCTCTAGTGGTCCTTTAATTAAAGGAAGACAAATTAAATAAATACTGTTTTGTTGTTTTAATGTATGACACGTCTCATCATCTCCCAGGCCGGGTTCGTGTGCGTGGAATTGGTGGAGGACACAAGCAGCTTTATCGTATGATTGACTTTCAGAGACTGAACTATGAGCTAGGCAAGGAGAACATGCCATTCCAGGAGAAGGTCATCGAGGTCCGCTATGATCCCTGCAGGTGAGGGCTTGTCACTGGGTACACCTGCTATACTATACGTAGGTCCTCAGACACACAATAAAACTGGATCTTGGCATTAGGTTATTTGTAATAAAACTAGGAATCACGGAAAGGTCATTCGGTTATTGTTGGTGAGAAACACTCAGACACCATCCCTAGCATTCCATGTCCAGTTACTTTCCTTGTCTTATGTGAGAATGTCCACTGCTTTTAAACCTTCAGTGATTGTCAAACAGCCACCAGGGAATACATTGCTGCAGCTGCTAATTCCATAACGGAGATCTCGTGTATATATTTTGAATTGTCCTATTATTGTCCTTTTTTGATTGAATTTTTCACCAGACTTTCACTTAACTCCAGAACTATTTTGTTTTTTTACACTGACCTTCTAATTAATACATTTACAGGGACACTATAGTCACCAGAAACATACTGCAGCTTAATGTACAATATACAGCTTAATGTACGGTATACAGCTTAATGTGCGGTATACAGCTTAATGTACAATATACAGCTTAATGTACAATATACAGCTTAATGTATAATATACAGCTTAATGTGCGGTATACAGCTTAATGTATAATATACAGCTTAATGTGCGGTTTACAGCTTAATGTACAATACACAGCTTAATGTGCGGTATACAGCTTAATGTACAATATACAGCTTAATGTACGGTATACAGCTTAATGTACAATATACTGATACCGGAGAAACTGACGGAAGCAAAGCACAGAGGGATGGACACAGGTTTCTTCAGGAAGGAAGAGATTCTTTATTGGATCACCGATCGGGACTCAGAGGGACTAATGTCACCAAAAATACAGCAAGTTCTGAGCCCTGAACAATAGTGCAGGCTCCCTATATAGGCACATAACTCCTCCCATATTAAGCTCCACCCGCACATTCTCTTGACCAATCATTACAAATAAGAATTAACTTCCTGCTTGACCGCATGGCTTGTCCAGCACAATGGAGGAGGGGAATACTACATCCTGTATTCTTGCACATGCTCCGTACACTACTGATCGTATCTTGCCTCGTGCAACCAACTGATCGATACGTCAGCATATGCACGTACACATGCCACGTGGTAATCTCGGCCTACTAAATTTATTTTTACCGAGATTCCACCACATTCCCCCCTTTGATGCCTCTTGATATTTTACAATTACTTGAGGCATCACTTAACCTTGGTTTGCATACACCACAAGTTACCTTTGAACCAGACCAGACTTATCCTACGATGTGAATCTTCAACACTTGTCTTCCTGCATTGGTTCTCCCTGATCTAGAGCCTTATATTTATAAATTGCCATTATCTGTGCAGCAGCCTTCCTCTCTGCTATATTTTCTATCAGGCTTTGCACAGACCTAATGTAACGGATCGCCTGGCACCCCGACTGGGTACCTCCGTTAAAGGATGCTCCTAGCACTTCCTGAGGACTCCAAGCACTGCAGCAGACACCACAACCACCGAACCAGAGAAGCATATGAATCCTCTCAAGCATATGAATGCTGTAGACAGTTGAATAGGAACCATATGAATAGGTTTACTCTCCTAGCAGTCAAACTGGAACAGCATTACACAAATCCTTCCCAATAATGAGACTTATTAATTTCACTTTGAGGGTTGGGTAAACAGGAACTCAGGTGCTGCACACCCAGCCTGGTTTTTATTACAGCCTTTCACATACAGGACCGCCTACAGGGAGGTATAAAACAACCAATCACATATCAGTTACATCCCACATATTCCCTCCCCTTATCCTGAGAGGAAACTCAATTACACATACAGTTAAAACATACTTTCTACCCAACTTTCATAACTCTAAAACCATACATCACATTCACATAAAATTATATATTCACAATCAATCCATTCAGGGGAACAACATATTAAAAAATGGCATGAATCAGACCAGGGGTTCAAAAGTTAGTAAAAAGTCCTTTGTGACTAAATGAAGCATGGCTTTCTGGCCTAAACCAGTTTCAGAGTCTTCTATCCTGGAGATAAGTAATTCAATTATCTCCCAGGACAGACACAAGACTCCATTAAGCACATGGTTGCAAAAGACACAAAACACTTTAAAATACATAAAGTCACTTTTTACACATAACACACAGACATTTCACATATCCCCAGATAGCTGGGATCTGAGCGCACAAAACTACCGAATAGCGCTCAGATCCTATTCACACAGTTCAATTGCCATGGAGCTAAAGTCTTTAACTACACGAATGGACTCCATGGCATAGCTATCTGGGTTAACACATTCACATAAAGTCTGGTCCATAGTCCAAAGGCAAGAGGCGGGCAAGCAGCCCCCTCCAAGGACACGTGGCGAGGCCGGTTTCGCCACATTTCTCCCCTTTACCATCCAGACTAACAGGGTATCTGACCTCCTGCCGGTCAGTGTCCTGGTTAGTCCAGCAACCCACCCACGAAGCACAAACAGCAATACAGCCCACCCACAATAACTGGTTACTACACCTGGATAAAATAGCAAGTTGTCCGTGTCCAGGTGCCTCACCACGGCTGTACGGGGGGCTGGTAGAATGCCTTGGTGGGTTGCTGAGTGGGCAGAGACCAGCGGTACTCTGCCCGGGTGCCAGCGCTACCACTGAAGTAGCCTGGTTGGAGCCTGGTTGTGGGAGGGGGAGACCGACTGTCTCCCCTCTGGATACACTGCTCTGTGGCTGGGGGACAGGACCGACCGTCCCTACCCCTGATGCTGCAAGTGCAGAGACTACAGTCCCATCTGCATAGTTGTGGGGCTTAACATCTCCCCTTGGTGGGTTAGGCTGCCGCTGGAGAGAGGGTGTAACAAGCTCCTCTCTCTGAACTGTAGACTGCCGCTGGGGAGAGGGGGTAACCTGCTCCTCTCCCTGACCTCTCTTTGCTGGTGGAGAGGGGGACCAACTGTCTCCCCTTTCAATATTTTGTCCTGCGGCTGGGGTGAAAGACAGACTGTCTCCGCTTCCTGCAGGACACACTGCCGCTGGGGAGGAAGGACTGCACCTTCCGTTCCCTGGGAAAAAGACTGCCGCTGGGGAGGAAGGACAGCACCTTTGGCTCCCTGGAACTCACACTGTTGCTGGGGAGGAAGGATAGCACCTTCGGCTCCCTGGAACTCACACTGCCGCTGGGGAGGAAGGACGACACCTTTGGCTCCCTGGGACTCACACTGCCGCTGGGGAGGAAGGACAACACCTTCTGCTCCCTGGGGTACACACTGCCGCTGGGGAGGAAGGACGACACCTTTGGCTCCCTGGGACTCCTTTTTGGCCAAATCTACTAGAGATTGCAGGTATTCTCCTACTAGTTTCCTGGCGAGCTGCACGGCTCTCTCTGGGGGGTTGGGTCCAAAGGTAGACAGCACCTCATTAACCTCTCTGTCAAACTCCTCCTGAGTGTAGTCATATGCCATGCTTGCTCTGCTGAAGTTAGTTCTTTTGTAGATAGGGTCGCTGTACGGGTACTAGCGTTGCCCTCAATTTGTAAATCCACGAACTGTGTCTCCGAGCTGCTTTACCTCGCACTAGGACGCCATCCCACCGCTTGCCACCAATGTAACGGATCGCCTGGCACCCCGACTGGGTACCTCCGTTGAAGGATGCTCCTAGCGCTTCCTGAGGACTCCAAGCACTGCAGCAGACACCACAACCACCGAACCGGAGAAGCATATGAATCCTCTCAAGCATATGAATGCTGTAGACAGTTGAATAGGAACCATATGAATAGGTTTACTCTCCTAGCAGTCAAACTGGAACAGCATACAATAAATCCTTCCCCCAATAATGAGACGACACTTCACTTTGAGGGTTAAAACAGGAACTCAGGTGCTGGCACACCCAGCCTGGTTTTTATTACAGTCTTGCAAATACAGGACCGCCCACAGGGAGGTATAAAACAACCAATCACATCACAGTTACATCCCACATATTCCCTCCCCTTATCCTGAGAGGAAACTCAATTATACATACAGTTAAAACATACTTTCTACCCAACTTTCATAACTCCAAAACCATACATCACATTCACATAAAATTATATATTCACAATCAATCCATTCAGGGGAACAACATATTCAAAAATGGGACAAATCAGACAAGGGGTTCAAAAGTTAGTAAAAAGTCCTTTGTGACTAAATGAAGCATGGCTTTCTGTCCCAAACCAGTTTCAGAGTCTTCTATCCTGGAGATAAGTAATTCAATTATCTCCCAGGACAGACACAAGACTCCATTAAGCACATGGTTGCAAAAAGACACAAAACACTTTAAAATACATAAAGTCACCTTACACATAACACACAGACATTTCACATATCCCCAGATAGCTGGGATCTGGAGCCACAAAACAAACTCAATAGCTTCTCAGATCCTATCTCACACAGTTCACCGCCATGGAGCTAAAGTCTTAACTACAATTTAATGGACTCCATGGCATAGCTATCTGCTAACACATTCACATAAAGTCTGGTCCATAGTCCAAAGGCAAGAGGCAAGCAGCCCTCCATGACACATGTGGCGAGGCCGGTTTCGCCACACCTAACTACTAAGGGTATAAGACACGGCAGGAGTAGACACAACATTAAAATCAGTAGGACTCCACCTACCACTGCCTTAAGCCCTCCAAACCACTCATACCAGCTACCAAACCAACTACTTGGATTGTACCCTTTCCATACCTGAGTAGGCACATGCGCTAGTTTAACCATATGGTTAGTAAGCTCAGCTATTGCTTGCCCTTCGTCATCTATTTGAAGACAGCAATTGCTCAGGTTAAACTTCCCACATACACCTCCCTCTACTGCCAAAAGATAATCCAAGGCTAATCTATTTTGGTAAACTGCTGTCCTCATCCTGGTATTATGCTTCGCTAGAAGATTGAGCGCTTGTGATGTCTCGCTAGTAATGATCTCAACCACCGCCTGTAACCTTATAATGCGGTTGAGCATATAAATAGGGGTTCTATAACCAAAGGTACCATCCTCTGCCCACGTGGCTGGCCCATAATAATCTATAATACGCTGGGAGGCCATTCATTATCTTCCCAGGCACCTATCTCTATGGGTCCCCTTTTCTTCCTATGATTCACATCATACACTTTAACACCTAAAGTCTCACCTGTTTCAATAGGCAATAAGAAGAAGGATGGTTTTAACATACCCAACACACATGCCCCTTCCCAGTCCTGTGGTAACTCCGAATAGGCCTTCTTACCACAGATCCAGTACAAATTCGCTGGGGCTCTCCAGTTAGATGTGATGGATAGATCAAACCATACGTCCTTTAAATTGGCATATCCTGCAAACGGGTTAGATGGTTCTGAGACATTTGAAGCCGACCACCAAGTTGTATTCTTTGTATCATCATCATAAGCTTTTTTGCCCTAGACAAGTTAATTCTCCTACAGAAGTATTATACATCATTCCTTTCCTCGCTGTGCAAACATAACCTATGATGGAGGTCTTCAATCTCCACTCAGATTTACCTCTAACACTCATATGATAGTCGGCTTGTGTAGATATTAATTGGTCAACTGCCTCAGAACCGGATATTACCTCCTTTGCTTCCCAAGGCCATTGGTCTCCCATGTTAGTACCTCCACACACATAGCAGTTGGTAACATTAAGACTACCGGCAATACTCTCGGCTAAATCAATGAACAA